TTAATTTTTACTTACAACTTCACTAATGTGAAAATATGTTTAATGGGTATGTAAATGTAAAGCCTATATCAGATTGTGCGCTGTCTTGGGGAGGGTGTGGGGGAAGGTAAAGGGAGATAAATTTTCCAACTCAAAAGCATATGAAAAAAAATAAAAAAATTATTAAAAAAAAAAGATCCTACTGAACTCCTTTTACGAAATAAATATGATACTGATACCTAAAACAAGAAGAGCAAAAACAGAGAAGGAAAATTATAGACCAATTTATTAATGAATATGGATGCAAAAATCCTAAGTAAAATACTGGCTAAAAGATTACAACAGTATATTACAAATATTATACGTTATGACCAAGTAGGATTTATACCATAAGGAAAACTATTAACAATTGTTATATCAATAATAAAAGTTTAAAAAATCATATGACGATGCAGAAAAACCTTTGACAAAGTACAACACTCATTTCTATTAAAAAATGTATTTTTCCTTAAACTGATAAAGTATTTACCTAAACTCATCAGCAAGAATTATTTGTAATGAGGATAAGGTAGAAGCACTCACAGTAAGATCAGGTGTGAAACAAGGATGCCCTCTGGCACCAATATTATTCAATATTGTATTGGAAATCCTAGCAATAGCAATAAGAGAAAGAATAGAAATAGAAGGAATCAGAATAGGGAATAAGGTAATAAAACTATCTCTTTTTGCAGACAATATGCTGATATACTTGGAAAATCCCCAAAATTCAACTAAAAACTTAGCTGAAGCAATAATTTTAGCAAAATAGCTAAATACAAAGTAAATCCACAAAAATCATCAGCATTTCTATATATCACCAATAAACCCCTGCAAGAAGAGACAATAAGAGGTACTCCATTTAAAATAAATCTAGTATAAAATATCTAGAAGTACACCTGCCAAAGCAAACTCAGGAACTATATAAACAAAATTATAAAAAATTTTTATAAAAATAAAATCAGATTTAAATAATTGGACAAATATTAATTATGTATAGGGAGACAGGGACAATATAATTAAAATGATAATTTTACCTGAGCTAATTTATATATTCAATGCCATCCCAATTAAATTGCCAAAAAATTATTTTATTGAATTAGAAAAATAATAACAAAGTCATTTGGAAGAACAAAAAAATGATTAGAAAAAAAGGAAAAGAACTTATATGTTCTGAAATGTTTATAACAGCTCTCTTTGTGGTGGCAAAGAATTGGTAATTATAGTGATGTCCATCAATTAGAGAATGGCTGAACAAGTTGTGGTATATGATTGTGATGGAATTCTACTATGCTGTAAGAAATGATGAACTTGATGATCTTAGAAAAACATGGATAGACTTGCATGAAATAATGAAGAGCTAAATGAGCAGAACCAAGAGAACACTGTATACAGTAACAGCAATATTGTTTGAAGAACAATTTTGAGTGACTGAATAATTTTGACTGCTAATAAATACCCAAATTAACTACAAAGGACATATGAAAGAAGATGCTATCTGCATCCAGAGAAAGAACTGATAAATAGAAGTATGTATAGAATGGTTTTACATATATATATTTCTGTCTAATGGTAGCCATTTTGGGGCTGGGGAAAGCGGGGAAAAAAAAGAAAGTTACATGATAATTTTATTATATATTTAACAGGAACAGCAAGTTGTACATAACAGATTAGCAGTTTTCTGTACAATCATCTTTATCTATTCTACTATATTATGGAAATGCTTGTTTTATTCCTTAAGTTCAGAATAAAATACACAAAAGTTTAAAAAATTTTTTAAAGGAAAAGATAAAAAAAGAATGAATCTCTCAAACTTTAAAAATTATCACCTCCAGTAGGAAATTCTCTTTTCTCCTCTTAGCCCAAGCTGATCTTCCTATCTTTGCCTTGGTGCAACTTTTACTCTCTCATGTAACACATCAAGGCTGTGATGTTCAAGTTCACAAGTGTGTTGGTTCCACTATTGTTGATAGAGAGGCAATGTGGTACAGTGGATTTGGAATATGGGAATCTGGGTTCAAATCCAAGATATGCTAACTACCACCTAAGTGACTCCTGGCAAATAAATCATTTCATTTCTTTGAGCCTTATTTTCCTCATCTGTAAAATGAGGAAACTAGATGACCTCTGATGTCCCTTCCAGCTCTAGATCTATGTTCCTATGAACCAGATATTACTAGAACATTGCCAGCATTTTTCCATCCAACCTTTTGTTTAGTTATAAAACACCTTAGGTTCCAGAGATAGTGTCCTGCTGAACACCATAGCATATTTGATATCAAAGGTGCCAAGCACATCTCAGAATATAGGAGGCTAATTTCAAGGCTGGCTATACTTAGTGAAGTGGCACATTGGAGTTAGCAGACCAAATATTGCTGATTTCCACCGGATATGATGTATCTTTCAGTAAATATATATAGCCTATTCATACTTCATATTCATATTGGGGCAGTTAGGTGGTGTAGGGCCTGGAGTCAGGAAGGCATCTCCCTGAGTTCAAATCTGGCCTCAAACACTTACTAGCTGTGCCAGTCACTTAACTCTGTTTGCCTCAGTTTCCTCATGTGTAAAATGAGCTGCAGAAGGAAATGGCAAACCACTCCAGTATCTTTGCCAAGCAAATCCCAAATAGGGTCACAAAGAACTGGACACAACTGAAAAATGAAATATCAATGGTGTTTATATACCTTATGGTGTGAATGGATTCTCCAGAGGTTCCCAAACTTATTTGATTTACTGCCCCCTTTAAAAAAAAATTGCTTGGTGCCTCCCTGGAAATCTACTTCTTTAACCCTTTAACTTTTTTTTTTGAAACTTGCATTATTTTTTAAAAAATAGAAAATATTTTTAAATGATGCATATTAAATTTAATAATTTATTGTGAATTTGTGGCTTTTTTGTGCATTGAAATTTTGATGATGCAATATTATGTCATATAACCATACAGTATTGTATTGTAAACAAGTCATTACACCCACATTTTCCTGCTGATGCGTGCTGGACTTCCCAACAATGCACAACATGCTCATCTGTCAACACTTACTTTTTAAGACCTGTCAGCCAACTTGACCACTGGTTGGTTATAACTTGTATTTTGTATGTTTATTTGGAAAATAACATAATCACTATGACTTTAACTCTATTACAAAACACATGAAACACATACAAATGGTTTTTCAAATTTTTCTTCTCTTCTTTCCTTATGCTTCCACAGCCCCCTCTTTTTTATTCAATGCCCCCCAACTGTACCGGAGGCTACTACTGCCACCTCCCACTTTGGGAACCTAGGCTCTAGAGGAAGTTGGCAATTATTCTCAGGAGACAATCTGAGAAGGAGAGAAGAAATTTGAATACTGGTTGGCATTTGTTACTGAGATGCTACAAGAATAATAAGCAGTTGCTACAAAAAAACTACATGCACCGAATAGAATCTTAGAGGGCCTGTATTATGTACATGGCATATGTTAAAAATGGAAAACCCGTCTGTTAACAGTGTATGAATGCTTGAGGGTCTAAGATGCTGAGGATTTTCAGATCAAATCTGTAACTACAACCCAAGAGTAGGACAAAAATAGGCAAGCTCAGTGATTAAGGAAGTAATCCTCTGGAACTGTGCCAAAAGAGCCCACCAAGAGGAGTACCCTGGTTTTTGTTATATGCATGGGCAGGATGGACACTTGTGGGCTTAGGACACCTAAGGAGAGAATCAATCCTCAGGATTCAACAGTTCAAAAAACATTTTAGAAATGTATTTGTGTTTTGTCTTTATAACACTTTCATTTCTGAATACCTCTCCTCCTACTGAGTGAGGCATCCTTTGTAACAAAATAAAAAGGAAAGAACAGTGGTTCAGCAACTGGCTGGCACATCAACCTACTCTGACAGTTCCTGCAATGCATCTGCAATGCAATACACTTACTGTGCCCTACCTGTCTATAAGAAATAAGGAAATGAATTTCTCAACTGTTGCTGTCATACTAAACATATTGATGCCCCTTCAAGTACCCAAACTCCCCAATTCCTCAATCTATTTATTCGCCATGACCTGCTCCTACACTCCCCCTCAGCTGCCCACAGATAGTTGCACCTTTGATCTTGCCCATAGTATTCCATTTCCCTGTTCATGAACTCTGAAATTTCTTTAATTTGATCATTATTCTTTATTATTCCATCTTTTCTTCTTTCTCAGGCCCTCTAGCCCTATCCTTTGTCCTCCTTGTACCTCTAATATTTTCACCTCTCAGTTCTTTCCCAGGCTATTTTATACTCTCCTCCCTTCCCTATCTCAATCCCTTTGAGAATCAGTTCAACTCTATACTATACTATCCTCTACATTCAATTTTTTTGCCTCCTTGTCCTATTACTTAACCTGCCTTTATCAAATTCAGTATTCCTGGATTACTTCCACCATCTTATTCCTTTTCTCCTGCAGAATGGTTCTAGAAAAAAATCATGAAACTGTGTTGACTGGATCCACTACAAATTTGACTGGTCCCCATTAGCGATGGCGGCTTCGGGGGGTTAGGGGAAAGGAGAGGCCAGCTGGGGGTCAAGACTGGGAGCGGGGAGCAGCAGTGGGGTCTCCTCAGGTCTCTCCCTTGCTCCAGACCCTCAGCCTTGGTACTAACGCCTCTTCAGTATCTTCTGCCACTCCCGGACCTCTGAATGGGACGTGGATCGAAGAGCTCTCCCCAAATCTCTATTTAAGGAGGGCCCCAGGTCATCTATGTTTTTGTTTCCCACCTGATAGAACTACTTCGGACTTCTTCATAATGCCCCCGCGTTGGGCACCTACCCCCCCACCCCTCCTTTTCGCTTCTTGAGGGTAGGTACTTTCTTTTTCGTATTTGTATCCCCAGATCTTAGCACAGTGCCTGCCACATGGGAGGGACTTAAGTGTTCACTGACTGACTGCACGGTGAGGGTCCACTGAAATGGCACCTGGAAGGAATCAACTGCTCAATTATGTAAGGCGGCTACTGTACCTTCTTCCACACAAAGCTTTTCTAAGCAGATTTCTGCTCCATTCCCCACGCCTAAGCCTGCAAGCGACCAGAAATGGCTGGTCTAACTGCGGCAGGTGGGAGAGCGGAAGGCAGAGCAGCCAGAACCTGCAGAGGACGAGGGCACAAAGCAGGGAGGCTCGGGGGAAAGAGGGGAAGGGGGTGTGGACTGGGGGTGGAATGAGGAAGGAGAGAATGAGGGAGGAGGGGTGGAGGGAGGTGGGATGGAGAGGGGATAGAGGCAGAAGGGGTTGCGGTGAACTGGGGGGAGGGAGCAGGGGCGAAGGGGACAGTGAGGGTGGGAGGGAGGAGAGGACCAGAAACCGCGAGGTAGGAAGGTCCATCCCCTCAATAAACTCAGGCCCCGCCCTCTTGCTGTCCCTTCCACGCATGCTCAATCCAACCCTCCGGGCTCTCTCCTGGCCTGATCAGGACCAGAAGTGACGTCATCCGCATGACCCAGAAGTGCTGTTTGGGAGGCGAGACCAGGACTTCGCGGGGTCGCGCCCTCGGGATTTGGGGCTGTCTCCGCTGGAGGGCGGTCGGGGTCTCCGGTGCATCCCGGGAAGCTAAGCGGTCTGGGTCCCTTTCCTTGTCCTCGGCGTTAGGAGGCAGCCGTTGCCATGACAACCCAGGCAAGTTTGGTGGCGAACCGAGGCCGGCGTTTCAAATGGGCCATTGAGCTGAGCGGCCCTGGAGGAGGCAGCAGGTGAGGCGCAAACGGGCCCGGGGACGAGAGGAGGACGGGAAAGGCTCATTCCCTGCCAGCCGGGGGACCCTCCGGAAAGGGGCATACAGGTTATTAAGCGCCCGCTGCGTGCATGGCCCCGTGTTACATATGACCCGGGGGTACAGATACTCCGCAGTCCTTGTTTGCGGGAGCTTACCCAGTAGGAGTGGGACACACCTGCGCGCACGCACACCACCCTAGCGTGACAGGAAAGAGGGACACCCCGACAGGCTACGTAGTCTGAGACATTGGAGGAGGGATGAGTCCCCAAGCGAGCGTCCTGGGAAGGCCTCCGGGAAGTGGCATCTCACTGGCCCTGAAGGAAAGGGGGGACTTTGGTGATGTAGATTGAATGGGACAAGATAAATCAATGAAAGTTCAGGTGAAACAGGGAGATGAAATAGAGCAAAACAGCTGGCAGGGAACCAGATTGTAGAAGGGCTTGATTGCTAGTCAGTCTCTAATCATTTATTATGGGCTTACTACATGCTAGGTACTTTAACCACTAGGAGTACAAAGAAAGGCAAAAAACACAGTTTTTGTTCTTAAGGAACTCGAATTCTGATGTGAGAGAGAACATACAAACTATTATCTACAGACATACTTGGTAAATTGGAGGCACAGAGAGAGGCAGAAGGTGGGTTTTGAGCTAAGACTTGCTAGGGAAGCTAGGGAAGCCAAGAGGCAGAGAGCCTAGAATGGCCCAGGGGTCGGCCACTGAAAAGACATGGAGTCAGGAGATGGAGTGTCACCTGTGAGGAAGTCAGCCTATGTCCCTGCATCATATATGGAGGGAGCAGAGGGTAAGAAGCCTAGCTAGATAGGAAGGGGCCAGGCTGTGAAATGCCAAATAAAATGTCAAACAGGGCATTTTATCCTGGGAGCAATAGGGAGTCACTGGAGTTTAGTGAATAGGGGGTTGATGTGTGTTTTAGGAAAATCCCTTTGGCCCCTAAATGGAGGACAAAATGGATTGTGGAGACCTGAGGCAGGGAGATGAATCAGGAGTTTAAACTTTATTAGGTAGGTAGTAGAGAACCACTAAGGTATTTTGGGCAGAAGTGTAATGGAATCAGAGCTGTGCATTAGGAAGATTATTACTTATTCCATTGATGAGAAGAACAAACCTGAGAGAGGATAGGCTGGAGGGTAGGAAGCTTGCTGTCTCAGTGGAGTGTAGGGGACAAACATGAGATTTTGAGGTAAAATCAACAGGACTGCACCACTTTAGTTCAGGCCATACTCACCTCTTGTGTAGCCTTAAGTCTTTCCCAACTGCAGTCTATCCTGCACAGATGCCAGATTAATTTCTTTAAACATAGATCTGACCATGTGACTCCCCAACTTAATCAACTTCAAGGACTTCCTATTACCTCTAAGATCAAGTATAAACTTTTGAGACTTTTCTACAAACTACAAAGTCCAGATTTAGTGGCCATTACTCCTCCTCCTCCACTATACAATTCAGCCAAACTGGACTTTTCTCTGTTCACACAGGATACACTATCTCCCAACCTGGTGCTGTTGCACTGAATGTCTTACATACCTGGCATGTACTCCCTCCTTACCTCCTCTGAGCCCCTCCCTTCCTTGAAGATGAAGCTCAAGAACCATCTTCTGGATTTAACCTTTCCTTGTTTCCCCATCTCCTAGTACCCTCCCTCTCAAACTACCTTGTACTTAACCACTCTGTATATATTTGTCTTTATGTTATGTCTATTTTTATATGTACTTGTTAGAATGTAAGCTCCTTGCAAGCAGGGGTTGTTTTATTCTTTGTACTTTTATGTACAACATCTAACACAGTGTCTGGCACAAAGAAAGCACATAATACCTGAAGATTCAGTTGTTATAGATTAGGACTGTGAAGGGACTACAGATGCCATCTAGTCTTAAACCCTTTCTTTTACAAATGGGTCACAATTATGAGCACTAGTGACTGGGAAGATGGTAATGCTAAAGAAGTTAGAGAAGAGGGCAGGATTTTTTGGGGGGAGAGTTTTGGGAGATTGCATGGGAGATGAGGTTGGGAAACCCCTAGCCTCTGCTTCTTGGTCTGGTTCTTTAGGGGCCGAAGTGACCGGGGAGGTGGCCAGGGAGATTCCATGTATCCAGTGGGTTACCTGGACAAGCAAGTGCCCGATACCAGCGTGCAGGAAACAGACCGGATCCTGGTAGAAAAGGTACAGAGATATAAATAGGTGATCAGTGCTTTTGAAACCTTTGAGCTCTACCTTTCTTTGGTGGTGAAAAGAGTATCTCTTTAAAGACCTACAAAGTAAAACCTTAGACCTTTTAGAGACAATGCTTGGGACAGAAGGGGACAGGGACAGGGAGGACAAAATCTGTCTCTTTCCTCCCCTAGTAAATGCTGGAGAAAATGGTACCTGGATAACTCCTTGGAAGACAGCCTAAAAATTTTAATAAGCAGGCCTCTCACTCCTGTTTTCTAATCTTTGGATAAGAGATCCTCAGATGGCAGCAGAAAACAAATTTGAAAAGACATTCTGCTGACAAACCTTGGTGAAGGTCACCCAGCCATAATTGGTAGTGGGGGTGTTAGTAGTGATTGAAGTGAAATAATCATATATTTCTTCTAGCGTTGCTGGGACATTGCCCTGGGTCCCCTCAAACAGATCCCCATGAACCTTTTCATCATGTACATGGCAGGCAACACTATCTCCATCTTCCCCACCATGATGGTGTGTATGATGGCCTGGCGGCCCATTCAAGCACTTATGGCCATTTCAGCCAGTAAGTATTCTTGGTGCTAGCAAGGTATGCATTGTCTTTTCAAGCAGCTTTACCACAGAGGGAACCAGTCTGTCTTCCCCAGAATGTGGGAGGCACATGTTTCCCCCAGTGTTTGGGGACCAAAAGCCAGTTCCTTAGGGGATATCCCCATTGAAGTAACGTGTTACAAAGCCCTTTGTTAGTGAGAAGTGAAGCTAAATTGCTTATATTTGAGTTTCTCTTTTTTCTATAATCATCAGTTCCTCAGTAAACAGCCCAGTCTTGGTATGTCCTTGTATTAGTCTGTGGTTGCCTTGGAGCTGTCTTGATACCTCTCATTGCCATTGCAGCTTTCAAGATGCTGGAGAGTTCAAGCCAGAAGTTCCTCCAGGGCTTGGTCTATCTCATTGGGAACCTCATGGGGTTGGCTTTAGCTGTCTATAAGTGCCAATCCATGGGGCTGCTGCCTACACATGCATCAGATTGGTTGGCTTTCATTGAACCCCCTGAGGTAAGGCAAAAAGTAGAAATTTAAATTTGCCTAGGTTGAGATGTAATCAGCAGCTGACTGGGTCATCTACCTGATTTGTCAGAAGGTGGGGTTGGTGTTAGAAAACCAGACTTAGCAGATAAGGTACATAAGGAGCTTCAGAAAATGTTGAGTGGAAAGCAAAGGTGGAAAGTAGGAGAGCTGGGAGTAAAAGATTAAAGGGACTTGGTGAGAGGCTACACTATGACCTTTACCATTTTCTTCTTTCTTCTTTCTTTTCAGAGAATGGAATTCAGTGGTGGTGGGCTACTCTTATAATCAAGGGAAAACGTGAATTGCGCCCCCTCACACGTGGATCCCATTTGATTTTTGTCACTTATCCCTTCTCAGTAACACTTTAGTCTGTTCTGCTTTGCAAAGGTCTCCTGTGCTGAAAAGAAGAATCAAAAAACTAAGAACAAAGCTAATAGGGTCAGAGTACCAACAAAGAAAAACTACAGAGATGCTCCTGGCTGAAAATAATGTAAAAAACTTTATTTATGTTTCCGATACAGAGCAAAAACAACAATCAAAACCCTAATTCCGTGTAAACAAAAGAGTGGCTGCTTCGGCCTCTCCTCTCAATAAATTAAACTGCTCAGAGTGGCTCTTGGAAAAGAAAACAAAGTTGCATGAGTTCCTTAAATCCATTTTCCTTAAAATAAAGGTTCTACCTCTAAATGATATTAAAGGGGACAAATACGGCTGGAGACACTTGTGGCAGATTTGAGAAACTAATGCTAGCTTCAGATTCTACATGATGAGAAGAAAAAAAAGAAAAAAGAATTGTTAATACCAGACTGAACCTGGGCATTTTCTACCTGTCATATTATTGTAACTTAGGGACAGAGGAAGGTGACTGTGCTTAATCCATCACAGGGTAGGGAATGGGTTCCTTAGGGAGAGGCAGTCCCCAGCTGCCTCAGGAAGCTGTGAGGCATGTATGAATATGAAGTAGTGATCTTTCCCCTGCTAAAAGACTGGCCTCAGTATGATTTTTAATCCAGCTAGTGAAGGCATAGACCAATAGCAAGAGGATGTTTGACACTACACTTCCTGGGAATATTATGGCTAAATCTCCAAATTTGATCTTGTCCCAAAGGTAGAAGTTTCTTCCCCTCCCTTACCTCTGTCAAAGCAGACAGCCCCCTTCCCTAAGGTGCATTCTCTTGATGAGTTTTCAGTATTGCTCTACTTTGCAGTGATTGAGAGACATGTTAGACACAAGAGACAAAATACACTCATATACAGTGACCCACACAGAAATGGGAGAGTTTGAGCAGGGGACAATACTCTGCCATGTAACAGTGATTTAAAAAAAGAAATAGATGGAGGCAGAGGGGCTATACAAATAACCTCCAGTTCCCTCACCCCTTTAAAATATTCTGACTATAAACTTCAGGGAGAATTCCCTTTCATTTTTCTGTCTAGATTACATTTAACTTAATCTACCTAATCTCTAAAAATATCACCTTTTTGGACTGGAGGGTGCTGCTCAGAGAAACTAAAAAGCCCATGAGGAGATGAAATGATTTTTGGAGTATCAGGTTGCAAAAGTCTAGGCTTGTGGGCAGAGCAAGGAGGGAATCTTCTGGCATTGAACTCCAGTCCACACCATAAAAAGGAAATTGGTAGAGGGAAACAAGGAATAAAAGGTGCAACACAAGGTATAAACAAGGTGTTTTCCTGACACATTGGAAGAAGAAACAGGAGCTGCTTCCGTCCAGAAAGACAGGAATTAAATTTGATTCGTTTTTCACTATTCTAATTTGTGTCTACTGATGGGTTTCTTTAGTTATACTGAATGGCTGCCTTCTTTGTCCATGGAGCTAGTTGAATCATCAGAATGTTGCACATTCTCAAATGCTACTGAGTAAAGAAGGAAGAGAGATTATAACTATTTTCAGTTTAGTCAAGTAACAGCTGAGTCCACGAAGTGGCACGGGCCTAGGCAAGGTGGAGTGGTCCCTATACATGAATCTTTCTGTAACAGAAAGATTTCAGACTAAGTTCAGGTGTCTGAAATTACTGCCACAGCCATATAAGGCAAAGATTTCCTATGCCTGGAAGCAGTATCTTGGTGATTGGCCAAAAAAAAAAAAAAAAGAAAAAAAAAAAGGAAAGACTATTTAACTTGTAAAATTATCCCCTCAGTCCAGTACTTCATAGCATTCTGAGAATGCAAAGGAAATTGGCAATCACAAGGCGTCTGACTGATCTCTGAGTCTAGAGCCAGGTCTTTACAATCAGAGTAAAGGAGGAAATTGAGGGAAAGGGCAATGCCCTCCCCCACCTCCCACCCTAAGACAAAACCAAACAAAAACCTTATTTCTTAAATTGTCTGTGCAGTGCTATTAACTTCTCTCACTTCATCTCAACTCCAAAAGCCAGGCCACAAAACGAAAGAACCTGGAATTTCTTCAGCAAGGCCAATGCCAATTCATATTCTGAGTCACTTTGAGAAGGAACGAAGGGAATTTAGCAACTCAGTGACTTTGGCACTGTGAATTAATGTATGGCACCAGAACTTTCAATTCCATTGCTGAATTCACCCTCAAAATATAAGCCCATCTTATTTTAAGTGATCTAATTATCTTTAGGGCAGATCAGCCAGTCTCCCTGTTTGCTCTGTGCCTACTAACAGAGGATGGGAGGAAAGGGGAGATAAGCCCAGTAAATTTCTCATTACTGACATCCAGTTTGTTTATTTTGTCCAAGTCACTCACCTATAAGTGTCCATGGACAATAGTTGTGTCATTCTGAGCACCTAGCTGGGGTTTCCATGAATGATTCAATCACCTAGACAACACTCCTTTTTTAAAAAAAAGTAATTTCCAGTGTAACAATGCCTTACATAATACTATGGAATGGGCCGAATTTGGGAAAATGTGAAACATTCAATGTACATACAACGTACACACATGCTTTAACCTGGGATCAGACTAAAGAGCAGCATCTATTGAGGAATGGTTTCTAAGTTCTTGCAGAAAGGGCTTTGTGTATAGGTTAGTTTCATTCTTTGTAGTACCACAACATAGAATGAGGTCCTTGGAAGGCAAGCGCACTGAAGATGAGCTGAGAAAGTTTTCCAGATGGGTCTGTTATAGAGAGACTGGGTTGCCGTATACTTGTGGCTATAGATTTTTTTGGCTGGAATGTTGTTATACTTCTCTGAGCATCATCCTTGGAATGAACTTCCTGGAGTTAAAGTTTCTGCAGGAGATCACAACTGAGTAAAGGTTTCTGAGATCCATCTTGCAGCTTCCGTCTTGCCCAAAGCAAAATGACTGTGCCTCCTGTCCTATTTAAATTTACCCTCTGATCCTGGCTCCTTTCTGCCTTATCTCTTTTTCTCTTCTGGTTATAATGTACACTAAACTGGGTGATGACAAGATTTTTAGGTTCCAATGATGATGAGGGAGTAACTCACATTTAGGTCCTGCTTTCTAGTCACAAAGCATTTTACACGCATCTCATTTGACTTGCTTCTTTTAGAGGAAGGATGAGGGTCAAGTGGGAAGAAGGGCACCTCCAGTTCCCTTTGCACTAAAGTACAGGGACAGAGGAGGTCTTGAGGCTCAGCTCCGCAAAAGTTCAGCATCACGTATACAGAAAACAGCCCTCTGGTCCAGTGGGAATGGCAGCAAAGTGCCAGATCATCTGAGATTTTTGTGGAGAATTGAAACCTGTGAGGAGGGTTGGGTCAAGCAAAACACATCAGGTACAGTTAGGAGTAGATGGTGATCACTTCACTGCCGCCTCCTCTTACAAGGAGGACACGCTCTAGCCCTTCTGTAAGCACCTCCAGGAATTCCATATCTATGCAGATGTGTCAAGGAGTCAATCAGAGCCAGAACACTAACACATTCAGCTTTGCATCTTGACACCCAAGGGCTTTTTGTCTTCACAGAATTTAAAAACAAGTATTAAGACATGGTTTATGGCCTAGGGATTAGAGAGGGGGACTGAACCTTGGATCCAGTTTGTTCCTGTGCAAAAACAATTCAGGAACCTAGTCCCATTATATCCCATACTATATGTCCCTTCCCATTTTACACAAGAGATGTTTTGGAAATCTAAATAGTCGTGGATTAACCCATGTTGTACTTTCATATTCACCCTAAAGCAGCAATGACAAGAATCAGAAGTCCACGGACACATGAGCCTCCAATATCTGTTTCTACAAGGGTTTCCAAAGATGATTGATTGAGGTGATTTCTATCACTTCACCTTCCCCACCAACAGCTCTTTTTGCTTCTTCCTCCCTGTGAGTTGAACTGGTAGGTAAAGGGATCAATGCACTTTGCAGCCCCACAGGGTATCCATCCCAAACTGGCCCTTGTTTGTAGATGGGGAAAAGAACCTTCATATAGAAAGGTTTATGTATAAGAAAGATTCCTGGAAGAAGAGCTGTTTAAGAGTAATTGGGCAGAATAAGGATCCAGATGAAAAAATGAAATCTATCCAGAAAATCTTCACCTTATCAAAGTCCTTGTTTAACAATTTTAAAAGTCATGAAGGATATCTGGCTTCACTTCTGTGGATTTCAAAATATTTCAATTACCTTGTACACAGAGGGAAATTTGGGGTAGACTAAATTACTTTTTATAGTCACCTAGCCATTCTATGTCCAAGGGAAAGATTCATAAATCTTGGAAAGGATACAATTCTCATCACCTTCAGGGTTTCGGGGTGGCCCTGGCATGTTCAGCAATACCAACTTTGCTTCATGGGACTTGTTGACAATCACCTCATTCAGCTTTACAGCAGTATGCATCCGCCTCACATTAGACTGATCTCTGGGGAGAAGACAAAGTGCAAGTAGAGGTAGTCCAGGGGAAAGAGAAATTAGCCTAAAGCTGAGGCAGACAACTTGTCTGGCCTTAGTGTGAAGAGTGGTAATGTGGTAGGTAGGGATAAATCTAAACTGGAGCATACTACTAGTTTGTACTTCTTGCTTTTTTCTCTTAAGCACCTGGGAAATACACCAAATTTAACCTCCTTTATATTTTAGGGCAAGATACCATTGTTTTGCCCTCATGTTATCAGGGTTAACTTTAGTGGAACAGGTTGGAAACTTTGGGCAGAAGAAAAATTTTAGCCACTTATTTCTTTGGTTTCTTCTCACAACATTCCTCAGGTCAAGTAATAAATCTCCCTCACCTACTTTTACAGGCCAGGATGATAAGAGGTGAAAAAACATGTTTCAAGTCATGCCATAAGTTAAGTGGCAGAACTAAAAACAGAAATTTAGATCTTTCATACTATGTCTGATGCTTTCCACCTTTTCTAAAGATGAAGATAAGATGGCCTTTTTATATCCTTGTCTTTTTTTTTTATATCACCATAAATTCCACGCTGGGAAACAGAATACATTTAAAATCAACTGCCAAATTATTCAAGGACCGGTTGCTCAGTTTATGGTTTGTCTAGATGCTTCTCCCTATGGCAAGCTTTGTGGGCATTTCAGTTTTCCAACCAATATATCATTACATTTAAGTTATGTCAGTACCCTGAATTCTCTCACCACCATTTGCTAATTTTTTATTAGGAGTTTGGTGGTGACATTTAGCTTTTTGGAAATGAGGGAGCATAGCAGGTGCCTGTGTATGTCCTCAAGCCTTTTTTTTTGTTTCTACCATTTGTTTCACCATTCCAAATCTCTGAGACATTAACCTCAGACAGCAACTGAGGTACAGTGGAAAGGAATCAATTGATACAGATTTCCCTTTCTGTTACCTGCAACCTGTTTGACCTTTAGCATGTCACTTAAACTCTCTAGATTAAACTCTAAATTCCCTCATTTGCAAAGTGAAACAGTTGGAGTAGGTTTACCTCTAATGTCCCTCTTAGCTCTAAAGCAATGATTCTATAATCCATTTTCAATCCTTAAGTCTTTATTTTACATGTTTAGACTGATGCAGAGCTCATAGATGGCCAGATCCCATATGGGGAGAGGACTATCCAGTGAGCCAATGTACCCATGCAAATTAACAGATGTCAGATTGAAAAAGGTTGATAAATGCCAGGCTTTTTTTTTTCCCCATTGCTCAAATAGCACCTCAACCAGAAAGTGAAATTCCAAACAAAACTTAAAGGCTTTGGTGAAAGGTTTTTGGGGTCTGCAAGTTAGTACTAGTGGATAAATAGTTGGCATTATCAGTGGGTTCCAATTGTACTAGTTCTGTTCCCACTACTGTGAATTGTCATGAACTGGGGATACTAATAAATTAAAAATTAAAGGAAAGTGGTACATTTCCAACTTGACCATGTTATTAAACATAAATGTCTGCGGGGCCTATTCAGGAGTCTGATGGAAGGATTCAACTTTAGTACATGTTTAAACCTTTTTTGTTAATTTTGTTTTTGTTGGGATTCTAGATGTCAGATTCTAAAAACAATTCTAAGAAATGAGTTGTATGTGATCTGTAAAGTGAAGATCTATACTAAACCTAGATGTATGAGTTACACTAAGAGCCTGGAACATTGAGAAAGGGTAGATATATTGTTCTGTACTTTGCTTATGGTTACATTAACCCCAATGAGACACTTACGGTCGCATGTTGAGTAGGTCCTGGAATCCCTCTAATGTCTTGGGTTTATGTCCCCGGGATGCCATGTACTTGTCCTTTGTCCAAGTCATGTGCACTTTTTCCTGATAGGTCTCTGTTTCTTCATCCTCATCAGAGCCAATGCTGGTAAGGCGTAGCATTGAATTCCGATCTTTAACCAACTGTGCCTGGCGGAGATTCAACACAAACACAACTCCATGTTCAATTTTTTCCTCACATCTTAAATTTGCACAAATGCCAGAGGGTCAGGAAAAGATCCCTCCTTCGTCTAATGGTTACTCCAAACACTAGAGGAGTAGTCTAAACAGCTGACTCCATGGTGGGCAGTAGGAGAGATTATTAACTCTTGAATCTGCTACCTTTTGAGAATTCAATAAAATACCACCTCTGCTCAGTAGGTTAATATTCAAGTGTTTAGGATAAAGGGATTGATGAAACAGGGTTCTTACCTCTCTTTCTCGTTCCGTTTTGGAGAGTCGCATGTGCCGTAGCATCTGAGATCTTTGTTCCATCATCAGAGTGCGCTCGTAGGTATAGGCTGATATGTCACTGTCATGCTGCCAGGGAAACACCATGCCAAATAAGCAACAAGCACAAAGGAGAAAAAGAAAACCAACTCATTTCTTTGTGTCAAATCACTAGATGAATACAGAGAACTGTGTGATCAACTAAACTCCCATCCTGATTTTATAGGGCAGAAGAGAGAATAAGCAAACCAAAGGGAGCTACATAGACAAATCAATATTTAATCTAAGGATAAAACCATTCATGGTTTTGACTTGTTAATCTACCCCAACCATTGTACATATCTCTTTGACACAAATGCAGGTTTTCTGTTCAGTGTCCTAAAGTAAGATGTGTTCATTTAAAACAGGGTTCTATGAATTAAGGTTCTTTTTAATTAAGTGTCCTTTTAATTGCCTGGCTAAAATAAGATGTGTTTAAAACAGGGTTCTATGAAATCCATCAGGTAAAAAGCTGGCAAAAACAAAAAGCCACCAAAAAAGGGAGGAAAGGGGACATTCTGCTTAGTATGTTAAAGTTTTGCTTCAGCTAAAGGATTAATCCACAATTCCAGGGCACTGGATCATAATGAACAGGTCCATGAAATAGGGATAATGCTGAACCTGGAAATATAAAGGTTGGGGACAAATAGAGACAGTTTTCATGTTCTTCCTCAGACTCTAGTATCTTACCATCTCTACCACTTCTACCTCTGCCTCAATTCGGAGGTGATACAGGAAGGTAGCCAGGTCCTTCTTCATCTGGATGCTGTTGTCTTCTAACTGGGCTACCGTGAAGATACGGATGGCACACTTACGCCACACCTGTGAGAATACACACACACAGTTAATCATGAGAAATGAACACAGTAACTTATAGCTCTGCCACTATATTCCTTCCTGATGTCCTACTTCTGGCCTCAGGGTATTAAAATAAGACAATTCAAACAAATTAAGTAGGCGTTTGATAAAATTATTTTACTATTTAAGAAAAATACTGGCAAAAATGATAAAGATGGTCTGTGATAAAAATACCACAGGAGAAAAGGCAGTTTTGTACAATTTAACGTAATGACTATTTGGATCATTACATAAAATCTAGTTTTTGAAAAATCTCAATTTACCTAATCTTACCAAAAAGATAAGCAACATTGACACTTGAGTATTCTGGTATTCAAGGTCTTGTTTTATGTAAATAATTTAAGTTTTCCTAGGGTGGATGTTATTGTAACTTTTTCTCCTGAGGACTCTGATAACAGAACTTTACTAGCATTTTTTCACTAATCCTCTTTGTTCCACTGAGAGATGGGGAGATACTAAATATTAAAATATCTATTTTTTTTCAGAAGAGGGGAAATGAAAAATTAAAAGTTAACTCCCTGAATCGGAGGTAACATCCATCCATTTTGACTTTAAGTCTCAAAAATGCTCCATTTAAGCCAAAAAGGAAGGATATGTCTAAAGAGACTAGACAGATGCTAGGCAGGGGAGAAAAGCAAACAGAATGGTTTAAAGGATGCCTGCGTGTACCTTATGCTGTTTAAGCAGGAATGGTAAGAGCATGAGCATCCCCCCATCATGCACAATCCACCACACATCAATGTTGCCCTCAGCAAATGGTTCCACATTACTGGGAAAGAAGGAGACATTTTTGGCTACCAGTAGGGCAAGATGGGCAGCTGTTGTCACCCGAACTGTGCCTGGAGAAAGAAAAGAAAAAAAGACCCAGAACTGATAAGCAAAGAAATCTTTATATTTCCCTTTCTTCATAAGAGATCATTAGGGAAAGAAAGATGATGGCTTTTCATTTTTACATATATATATATATATATATAGATTAGATAGATAGATAGATAGATAGATAGATAGATAGATAGATAGCAAGGACTAAAAAAATGAACATGTCACTACCATGTGCAGTCTTAATGAGATGATGAAATGCTCAGAAAATCCACTATTGGCTAGCCTTTCTCAAGCAAATAAGCAAATCTCATGTAGAGAATCACAATATTACTGTATTTTCAGGGAACTGGGAACCAATAATAAATGCAAGAGGCATTTACACCACGAGGTGGTGAAGAAGCAGCCCACTGTACAAAAACATTAAGATAGAAATTCACAATTAAAAACCTGGAAATATAAGAATTAAAGATGAGGAAAAAATGTATTTTAGTGAAAGCATTTTGTAAACTCAGCTGAGGTAAGCATTTCACTCGCCAAATAAGATTAAGGCGCAGAGGATGGGAGGTGTTGAGTCAGCCTATAAGGTCTTTATTATTCTAGCACTGCAATGTATGTCTCAGTTTCAGCAAAATAATGGCCTCAATTTCAGAGGGCAGAGAGGTGAGATGGGTATATAACTGCAACTTGCTTAAGGGCTTGGAAAAAGATGGGGGTGGGGCAGCTAGGTGGCGCAGTGGATACAGCACTGGTCTTGGATTCAGGAGAACCTGACTTTAAATCTGGCCTCAGGCACATAACCCTTACTAGCTGTCTGACCCAGGGCAAGTCACTTAACCCCATTGCCTAGCCAAAAAAAAAAAAAGAAAAAGAAAAAGAAAAAGAAAATACAGTTTAAAAAAAAAAGAATAGAAAAAGATGAGGAATGCTCTTTACCAATGAAAGTCTTCCAGGCACGGGCATCTTCACTCTGGCGCCAGCCATTGGGCCAACCCATCACCACAGTATTGTGTTTCATGCCCCCAAGGCCACAAGACTGGATGAGATGGGAGATGCCCTCCCTCAGTTTGGCTGCCACCACCAGCTGGCAAAAGCCCTTCACTTTCTCTGCCTCCATCAGGTGCTTAATGGTCTGAAAGAAATATAGGAACACTGAACTGATCTGCCTGAAACCCTGGGACACTTGTGCCATTGCTCCCATCTAAAATGCTGTCTTGACCTCCCCATGTTATGGCTCTCTTCTTTGTATTTTCAGTCTCTGCGCAAGACCAATTTCTTCCCCAAGATCTTGCTATAGGCCTAATTTACCTAAAATTATTCCGGTAACTCCTACTATTCTTTATCTCTTCTATCTCCTCAAATGTTTAGCAGTTCTATGCACATCTCTATATTCAAAATTGGTTGTATTTTGGTTTATATGTTTCTCTGTCCCTTTTTCTTCCATTAACTATCAAGTACTTCAAGGCATAGTACATATCTTCTACTTTCTTTGCAGATCACCCCACAGCTTGGCATTGTGAGCATACAACAATCTGTGTTGACTAAGTAGGGTGAATGAACTAGTGGGAATATTCTTTTTTCCTCATACCTAGCCATATCCTAACTTAGATTACTAGTATAGTTCCACCCCAATATTTCTCCTGGGGTCCTCTTTCTTTCATTTCCCTTCCTTCAAATAATGGCACTTACTTACATTTATTGAAATATTCCTTTTAGGGGTATGTAGGTGGCGCAGTGGATAGAGCACCCGCCCTGAAGTCAGGAGGACCTGAGTTCAAATTTGACCTCAGACCAAACACTTGACACTTACTAGCTGTGTGACCCTAGGCAAGTCACTTAACCCCAATTACCCCCCCCCCAAATTCTTTTGTACAGTTTAAAAATTTTAAAACTTTTTCTCTCTTAGGTCCTTACAATCCCTGGGAACACTAGTACAGAAAGTGGGTATCATCTACCCAAAGCCACAGAACAAGTCAATGGTAAACCAGGATTAGAAGTTGGGTAGCTTGATTATCAAGCCAGAAGGATCACGAGGGCTCTTTAATTTTTTTTTTAAAGAGAAAATGAAAACATTTACTTTTTGTTATTTTGTAACTACCTTTTAGGCTTATTTTCCTAGCATTTATAAAAATGCTAGCCGTACCTCATTAGTATGAAACTATTAAAAATGATCACAAAAGAATCTTTTATATTTAACTTGGAAAAAAATTCTTACATGTTATACTCATAACCTCTAAGAAATTACAATATACAATGCCACTTTTAAAGGGCTAATAGTATCCCTCTCAAGCAGAATTGCTAGTCTGGGCAGACATTTTATGATCATCTTCAGTCTCTAGGATCCTACAGCATTTTGCAGATCCTTTAAAATGGAATCTGATGGAATTATTGAAATGCATATAGAATTTTCTCTCAACACCTATCACTTATGAGGATGGTGCTTACTTTGAGTGCTAGTGAGAAACAACTTTAGGGGACAGGTTTGTCACATAGGTACATCTAGGAAGAGACAGTAGAAGCAGCCTGTTTATATCACCAGTTACTAGTAAGAAGGTTATGAGGCTATTTTGAAGGAACAGATTTCACTTACATACTTTCCCTCAAAACACACAAAAACCAGTAATTAGGAATTTATTTGGAAGCCATCTTTGTGATTATGATTTGCTCATCTTTCTACAATGGTATAACTTATATACCTGCCAATATTTTAAATGCAAGAAGAAGGCTGGTGACCTGCCTCATCTCAATCATATGGTAGAACCTAGGAGTAGAATAGTATCTGTTCAGAGACGGAGCACTTATCTGAGAAGACAACTTATTAAATGCCACAGGATTAATTTATAAGCCTGAGAGCCATCTACACAACCGAGCATAGCTGTAAATTCAATTAGACTCTATCCCCTTTCTTACCTGTTCAGCAGCTAATGCCTCACCATAGTTTTCCAAGAAGTTTCCCACAAGAACAGAGCCCACAATAGTGAGACCTTTGCCAGCTTTGAGCTGTGAGGCAAAAGTTAGGAGGCGAGGATGTTTAACATGTAAGTCCTCATCTAGTTTCAGCATCACCAGCAATTGAGGCCTATGCAAAATGGGGAAAGGAAGAATAAGTGATAGAAAAAAAAAACTTAATCAGCTAAATGAAAGGGAACAGATTTAAAATGGATCATGGCAGCTCTATTATGCTAATTTCCTGTGCCATGTCTTTCTTATAACACAATCATTTATGAGTACTTATTATGTGCCACAACACTGTTTGAAGCTGTACATCCTACTTTACCTCCAATTCTTTGTGTGTGGAGGCCCTTCCTCTAGCCGTAGCAGGGCAAAGCGAGCTGCACTTAGGGACAGTCCCCGGATCCCATCGCCCCACTCTTTCTCAGCACTGTGGTAAAGAAAAAGGAAAAGAGATTGACATAAAGCAGGTAAAATCCAATTTAAAAATTAAACATTCAGCTAAGAACGGACATGTCGCACACTTCACCAACAACATTCTACCTTCTCAATTAATTGATAACATCATTCTTCACCAGCAATCAGGATGTGTTGTTGGACAGTGCATAAACATGGCCAAAGGGTTCATTCACTCATTTCTCGATATAGTATTAGTTGCTTAGCAACCAGAAAGTAACAGAGGGGTTGAGGTAATGAAATTAAAGTGAATCATGAGTTTGCACTGACAGTGTAGGGGAAAATAAAATTGAATGGGATCCCCAAGTCAAGGTATTTACTAGCACTCATTATGATAACAAAAACAAACAAACAAACCAATAAACTGGGTGCCTGTTGATTAGGGAAGATGAACATATTGTGGCATATGAATTTAATGGAATACGACTGAACTGTAAATAATGAAGAATATAAGAAATTCAGAAAAACACTATAAGACTTTTACAAACTGAGGAAGAATGAAGAGTAAAACCAAGAGAACAATATATGTTCAGTGACTACAGTAACACAAATGAATACAACATTAAAATACTACCAAATTGAGATTAATTACAATGACCAATTTTGATTGCAGAAGAGAAAGAAACATTTTTTTTCTCTCAGTAGAGAAGAGAAGGACTATAGTTGTGGAATATTATGTACACTGTCAGATTTGGTCATGTTATTGACTGAGTTTTTCCTCAATTTTTTCTCGTTTTGTCAGGGCAGATATGTTAGGGAGAGAGGAGGAAGGCATATTAGGAAGCAATTCTGACATTAAAAAAAAAACCCAATAAACTTCTGGGGTAAGAAGTGTCTGTTGAAATTTTAGATGATCCTGGAGTCAGGAACATGCTCCCTTTCATTTTAGATATAACTTGGAGAATGTAGAACAAATCCAAGATATGTTTGTCTTTTGTATACTTTTGATCCACTATCAATCAGAAATATTCTTTCATTTGTTTTTTCCCAGCTAATTCACACTGATTTACCCATCCAGTTTTGTTACTTCTCCTTGTGATCCAAAAGCCTCTGCAAGATTTCTGACAGAATTAGAGATGCAATTTGTAGTCACTGAACCATTAAGTTAACTGAACCTAAAAAGCCTGGCTTCACTAAAATACTGCTTTAACTGACTGTGCTAAATACTCATATACCTAAAGTTTTAACATTTATGGATGTCCAAGCCCAAACCCACAGACTGTTATTCCTGCTGTAGTGACTCACCCTTGGTACTCAATGTACTTGTAGATCATACCAGCTATCACCATGGCCACAATGGCATAATACCAGGATGAAATGAACATCAGGGCCACACAGATGCTCATGCCCATGAAGGAGAGTGCCCTAGAGAATAAAAAACCAGAAACATCTTGAGTGGCTCAAAAATAGGAACACGATAATGAGGACTGATCTCACTGTTGTCAAAATATGTAAATAGTAAAATATATAATGAAGTCTATGTGATCACTGAAATCTTTATTAGCAAAGTAGGGATGATTCATAAAATTAGCAGAATTTTAAATCAACAGCTCAGTAGAGGTAACTTTGACACTAGGAGTTCTCTATCACAGATTCATATATGCTCTTCCCAAAAACATTTGTTCTGATGATTTCTAAATGTTCTGTGAATATCCCAACATCTGGCGCAATGTTGCCATTAATTTTCTTACTTTACAGATAGGAAAACTGTAGCAAATAGCATAAAATGCTTTTTTTAAAAAATAAAATAAACCACATTATTGATTACAGAATACTAAAACATCCAAGAACTTAGTTTTGAAAGGCAAAAGAGAGAAGGTAGTACTTTGGAAGGCAGTGAAATCAAGCAATAGCTTCTTTAAAACTGGGAAGCCTGGGCTTACTTAAATTATGAAAGTTTTAGAGAGGGAGGAAACTGATAAGACTTAAGAAAGGGATAGTATATAATGTGGCAAAAAGTAGATGGTGAAAGTCTAAGGAGAGGACACAAGGGAGGAGTCATTTTATAGTGGATCTCTTCTACAACCTCTGGGAAAGGAAAGCTATAGTAACCCATAAAGGTAGTTAGAATTTTTGTTTGATGATACCAAAACCAACAGTGATTAATTCTCAGAAAGGGCTATCAGGGAAAGGACTTTAGATAAGATCTGAAAATCTGAAAATAGCTTGTGTGATAGTATTCAGTTTCCAGTTATGTAATTTGACCAAGTGTTCTAAGTTTTGAGACAAGAAAAACAAACTTACCAGTGGTAGTAGCGGAACCGGGGTCTCCAATTGGGTGTTCGAAGCAGAGTCTGCAAGGCACATGCCAGGTTCACGAAGAGGTAACACATCAAGAAAAACCTGGAGGGATGAGAAGAGTGCTTATCAGTATTGTTAAAATGGATTTCACCCAAGTTTATTAAAAGTAACAGAACTCTCCCTTAACGCAATTCAGGGTTTATTTGCAGATTAATAACAACGTGACTAAGAGCTGAGGGAACAAAAATTTGAACCTCACCTTACTTTTCCTCAGGCGGACAATCAAGTCCTGCTTCATTTTTATTGTGAAGCTGAAGCAAACAATGAGCATGAGGTTCACTGTTATTCTTATGACCAAAACCCAAGTGACATTCTTCAAGTCTCACTCCCACCCTCCTCAAACACTTTCACTTTATTTTGCTAGGATTTATGTTGAACAAAAGAACATGTTAAATAACAAATCTTTAAGCTAAAGAGTAAAATAACTAAAATAACTGAGTGAGTAATGCTATGAAAAAAGAATATATTCTAGAGTCTGCTGACTGGTGACTAACTAAAATAGACATGGGGCCCACAATGTACACACAGAAACAAAAACTCATTCCATCCAAGGGTGTAGTCACTTCAAATTTTCATATAAGAAACCGAGTTAGGGCCTCACCTTGCCCACTCTGAGTCAGGGTATAATTTAGCTTGTCTGCTAAGAATTAGTTTAAGTTTATAAGTTTTAAAAAATAATTTTACTACCTTTTCCAGCAAAATTTTTGTGGATCAGTAAGAATTTGTAGTTAATTAGTGTTAGTCCATAGATAAGTAACTGAGAACACTGTTAAATGATTTATTAAAAAATAAACTATGGAACATATATTGATTATTACATGGAAAGGATTGGGGCCACAAGATCCAGGGAAGCAATGAGGATCCCTAGTTCCGCAATGACAGCAGTAAGGAGTAAGGCCCAGGTAGGCTCCCCATTGGCTTTGCTGTGTCCAAACACCTACAATAAGAAAACAGATGGCAAACTTAAGAAATGAGGTCTTACTGGAATGGGGTAAAGCTTTATTAAAATTACCTTTGGCAGCTATACCATTCACTGTACTCTCCTAATTTACCTATTATAATACTAAAGATTCACGTAACTATATGAAATTAAAGAGGATGATGGAATCTGATATAATATCATGTAATCTCCAATAAAGAAGTGTGATGGTGTGAAGACAAAAGGAAGGGAAAAGAATATGCATTTATATAGCACCTATGTGCTAGACACTGTGTGTGCTAAGAGCTTCACAAATAAGATCTCATTTGATCCTCACAACAACCCTGAGACATAAGTACTATTATTATCCCCATTTTGCAGTTGAGGAAACTGAGGCAAACAGTGTGAGAAAATAAATTATTGCATCAACTTTTTGTAAAAAGAGTGGAAATTAGAAAAGTAAAAAGGGGTAGGTCTTTTGTTATGAGCCCTGGATTGTCCCATGTTACTTCACCTAGCAATCCTAAAATCCCAAACAGACAATGTTGAGACATTTTTTAAAAGCCATGCTACCATGAGGAATATAGTTACCCTATAGGGAATGGGGAGAGTATGTAGAAAGAGGAATATATAAGAGTCTCTTACCCGAAGGAATGGTATGATGTTGTCCTTGGCAATAGCCTGTAGCAGCCTCGGGGCACCGGTGAGGCTCTGCAGTCCAGCCCCACAAGTTGAGAAGAAGGAACCAATAACAATGACCCATGGGGATGGCCAAGATAAAGTACCTACCACCAAATTTCCTTTCACTGCATCTCCAAACCTGAGAGAAAAGTTAAAGGGAAGTTGAAATTTAACTTGCAGGGCATTGTAAGATTAAATAACAAGAGGAAAGTATTCTGGCTTTGTTATTAAGTAGTCAAGGAATAATGACAACAGTGTAAATGGAACGAATGATAAAAGATTGAAACTGAATGCTGTGTCATTATAATTACCCAGCTTGAACCCAAAGAAGACAGATGAGAATGTATCTCCCTCTCTTCTTTGCAGAAAGTTAGGGAACTAAGACCATGGAACACTGAATACTGTTGGACTTGAATGATGTGTTGTTGGTTTTGCTGAACTGCTTTTCCCCCCTTTATTATAAAGGATGGCTCTATGGGAGTGGGGGGATATAATGGGAAATGAAGGTGATATGAAAACAAAAAACATAAATAAAAAAATTCCTTTTAAAAACAAAGTGAGTTCATCTTGGCCAAGTCATTTAGTTTCTCTTTGGGTCTCAGTTTCTTCACTTATAAAATGAGGTTGAACTGTATCTGTAAGGTTCCATCCAGCTCTATGATTCTATTGCCAGCTCTCTCCTCTCCCTTATCTATAATCCTCCAAACCACTTGACATCATCCTCCATATTCTCCTTTATTCCATTCTCTGATAGTCTCTGATGGTTGCAAAGGTCAATCTCTCTACTTACACCCTTGATTTTATTCTCTCTCTCCTTCTCCTTCTCTCTCTCTCTCTCTCACTTTTACCTTTCCTTTCATTCACCTTTCAAAGTCTTTGAGTCTGGCTTCTGATCTCATCAGCTGAAACTGCTGCTTTTTCCAAAGTTACCATGATCTCTTAATTGCTCTTCCCCTCTCTCTCCCCACCCTCAAACTGGAGGCCATAAAGCAAAGGATGTGTGTGATCATTTGTCATACATACTGTAGAAAGAATTCATGCTCAGGTATGGATTCAGCTAGGTGACCTCTGAGGTCCCCTTTCAACTCTAATTTCTATCATTTTCATTCAATAAGTCCAGCTCCATCCTTACAAAATAAATACACTTTAAAATACGCCAAGCTATCACATCATATCCAACTAAACATGAATAACACTAACCTAATAATAATAAAACTAATAACATGAATAACAATAAACTAATCACTAATGGAAGAATGAGTTGGTGATTCTGTTCAGCCTTCTTTAGGACTTCCTAATATATCTGATTTAGACAAATATTTAGTCCTTATGAGGGAAAAGCCAGAGATGCTTGAATGTCTCTTCTTTCTTACCTTCTTGCCACGTCAGGGATTTCCCTTTTTGTAGCTTCCTACTGGGTGTGAATATTCAGGAAACCTGGTTTTTCAAAATCATTCATTGCTTTCTTTACTGCACCGTTAACTCCCCATATATATATATACACAAACATATAAACTCATTAAATCTGAGTAATGTTGACAGTTAACCTTTGTTTCAACTCAGGTTACCCCTTTTTGGTTCCTGTGTCTTAAGAAATACATGTGATAGATGTCACAGCAGATACAAGGAAGCAACAAGAATTTTTTAAGTGCTTACTATGTGCCAGGCACTGTACTCCTACAACAATCATAACAGAAGACCAGAATACTTACTTATCCCGGAGAACAACCCCTTCAATGCATGCCCCAAAGAGGACAACACTGCTTAAATCTACATCAGAAGTCAAGGAAGCTGTCATTCTTCATTGTCAAACATGAGACAGAATGTTGGAGGCCAGTGCATTTAGCCAAACCCATGCCTTCACCTTTATAAACTATGAGGAGTTAGGTCTCCTAATCCCTATACTTTGCCTTTTGATGTCTCTTTCTGGGTTTTTTTTTGTTTTTGGGGGGCAGGGGTGGAGTGGAGGGATGGAGGTAAGGGGAAGATGGACCACAATCTATCTTGTTTTGAGCCCTTCCATAATAATATGCTCTTGGGGCAGCTAGGTGACGCAGTGGATAGAGTGCCAGCCCCGGATTCAGAAGGACCTGAGTTCAAATCTGACCTCAGACACATAACACTTACTAGCTGTGTGACTCTGGGAAAGTCACTTAACACCACTGCCTAGCCAAAAAAAAAAAGATCGTTCATAATAACATGCTCTTATTGGCTGAACAAAAAGTATTAATCCACCAATTTCTACGATACAATCCTACCACACTGATAGCCAAATCAGATCTACGTAAAGGATACAAACAAAAGAGGTGGTCAGGATGGCAAGAATGGTACCAATGGGAATGGATTTTTGAGCATCCTTCAAATCTCCAGACCTGTTTGATCCAGCCATGATACCTAGAGAAAAGATCCAATAAGTCAGCCCTTCCAGCTACTACAAAGAAAATTTGCTTAGATTCATGCCAGTGATTCCAAAGGTTGGGGAAAAAAAATTAAGAAATTCTAAGAACAAGACTCAATCATCTAACTAAATAATCTTCAAGGACTAATTGACAATTTCTAAAATTAAGCAGACAGAAACCTATCTGTTTACCTGTGACAGAGGGAAAGAAGATTCCAACCAGGAGAGTGAAAGAGGTGGTAATGTCAACAAGCACATACTCGTGATTCAAGTTGCCTAAGAAATCAGAAGATTTGGCCGACGGCTTCTCAATTAGCTCTCCCTTTGGTAGATAGTTACTCCAAAGATTCTCTGTAGTGAAAATAAGAGGAAGAATTGGAAGTTAATGTTGCCAGAAGACTATAATAAGACAATCTGCTTTACTAACACTCAGTTTTCTTATTCGGTTTTTAAATATACATTTTGCTTCTATGACAGCAAAAAACCCAAATCAAACAAACAAAATAATCCCACAAAGACCACACCCACCAAAACAAACACCTTATGTACTTTCTAAAACAGTTTCAAATGTAGTTTGGCTAACTGTTCTGGTATACCCACATGCAATTAAGTCAGACCTGGAAAAGCTGGTTAGGAGTTAAGGAAAGCAAAGTGAAGCTGACTGCCTTTGAGCTCCTATTAGTGATCAATGCTGCTCTACACGATTCAGTGAGATCAAACTTGCTCACGTGCCAAAAAAAAAAAAGATGTCATCCAAACCACTAAGTCACTTAGGAAAGGGATTTCATAGATTTAAATGAGTTGAGAAAACATGTGGTGACATTACAGTGGTTCCGGTCCAGTTTGCTCATCATTTAGCCCTGCCCCTGGGAACTGCAGGACAAACATTGTCAATTTTAGAAAGAAAAGTGAAAATATGATCCTCTTTCCCTAGACCACACAAATGATTTGTAGGTTAGCAAAAGATCAGACCTGCCTAAAGTTGGAGGCAAATGTTGAAACAGATAACACTCTTGAAGGGAGCCAAGAAATTAAGTTCCTTGTGGTCAAAGCAGGAATCTGCTGGCATTAAGAGTTGTGTGCCGAGTTTAGAGAAGGAGATATCCTGGCAGATAGTTCCCAATGACAATGAAAAGATCTAAAAGACTAAACTGGCCAGTAAAAACTTTGTTTTTGCCCTACTTACCCACAATGATTCCACTAGCCAAACCAGGGATGCCCTGGATTGATGTGACATTGTTGTGCTCAAAGTAATCATCACAGGTGACATTGAAATAGTGGCTAGAGTTACAGAAGAAGCCCCACAGTTTTGAAGGGACCGTCATGTTGTTCATTTCCTTGGTCTTTGAGCAAACATCAATGTGTCTTGAAGAAAGAGTGCGGTTGCCCAACATGCAAACTCTAAAAGGAAAACAGGTGGAAAAATAAGAATAGGAAATGAGCAAAAAAAAAAGGCACAAGAGCAAACAAGGGTTTTAAAATGAGAAGATTGAGTTGGATATTGAAAGGAACTCGTTAACAAAAAAGGTTTCCTCGTTATTAGAAATTAATCATCCCAAAAGTCACTTAACCCCATTGCCTAACCAAAAAAAAAAAAAATTAATCATCCCTATTGTTTGTCCTAGAAATGTCATAGATTCATGGCAAAGGATAAATATCCCCAGCTAATAAGAAACCTACTTTGCTAGAATGAAAAACACAACCTCCATGAACTGAGAAAAGACTATTCCATAAGCCTAAACCCTGATGTAGTGAATCACAGACTATCAGTCTTGGAAGAGATCAGAATCCATGTAGGCCAATGCTTGTCTCAACCCTTTATATCATTCTCAACAAGTGGGAATCCAGCTTTTGTGTGAAGATTTCTGAGACATTCACATAATACCTTAAAAATCTAAGAAGAAATTAAATGACATGTTGGTGTTTACACAGCCAAAGAGATTTAAGAGAGGGGATTTGAACTTAGGTCTCCCTGATTCCAGGCCCAGCACTCTCTTCATTATGCTATATTGTTCCTCTGGGCCTCAATATCCACAACTATAAAATAAGGAGATTGTATTCGATGATTTCTGAGGTCTGCTGTTCTAAATCATAGGATTTTGACCTCAGTTCCAACTAGTTTAATTCTAGTCCTTTCTGTAACATTCATTTTTATTATGAGCATAAGATCAAAGATTTAGAGCTGAAAGGGACTTTAAAGGTCATGTAGTTCTAATCTCTCATTTTACAGATGAGGACCTGGGACCTGTCCAAGGTCATAGAGGTACCAAGTGGCAAGGCAAGGATTCAAAGCTCCAAATCTAGCACTTTCCCCACTCTACTATGTTGCCTTTCAACTTGAGTCATTTTGTTCATGAAAAATATTATTACATTTAAAATTTTTTAAAAAGATTCCTAGTGAGAGTAAACATAGTCTCCCTAGGTAATCCATTTCACTTTGGGGTATCTCTTATTGGAAAATTCTTCCCTATATCAAACCTAAATCTGCTTTCCCTCTACAACTTCCACCCATTTTCCCAAGTTTTGTACCCTCTAAGCAGAAGTCTAGTAGTTTTTCCATGATAGTGTTTCCATGATTAATTATGTAACCTTGGACAAGTCAAAAACTCTTCAGACCTTAGTTTTTTCATCTATGAAATGAAGAGGACTGAACTGGTTTCTAAGGTCTGTTCCAGTTCTAAAATTCTTTGACTTCATAGCCTGAGTAGCTCAATTGACTCCCTAGCTTCCTTTAAGTCCTGACTAAAATCCCACCTTCTATAGGAAGCATTCTCTAATCCCATTTCAGTCCAGTGCTTTCCTTCCTTTAATTATTTCCTATTTGTCCTGTATATAGCTTGCTTCGCATATATTTGCTTTACATGTTGTCTCCCCCATTAGACTGTAAGCTCCTTGAGGGCAGGAATTGTCTTTTTGTATCCCCAGCATGTAGCACAGTGCTTGGCACATAGTAGGTTTTTAATATATGTTTAATGAATTATGAATGTAAAGAAAAAAAGTCATGGCCTTCATCTAGGATTTAGTTAGTTTTTCAAAGAAAAGCTCTATTGCAAGCATATAGCCACTCTTAACCCTTGTCAGCCTTTTGTCAGATGAATACTACTGGTTATAAGAGGGAAGCATGGATCAAATACCCATATCCCCATCTTACTGATGGATAAAAAAGCATTTGTGTATTCAAAAGATACCACCTACCCATCATCACAGATTACCCCATGTTCTGGGACCATAAAGCACAGGGCCCTGTACTAAGAACTGCATAACTGAAGCTCAGCTTCTAGTACAGGGCAGAAAACTTCTTTGCTGTCCCCACTCTCCCTTTCCCAGTTTTCTAATTTCTAGAAATAGGATAGTAAATTTACCTCCCTCATAGGACTAATAATAACAGACAAATGGATAAATAATGTGCTGCTGCAAATACAAACTGTTCCAGGAACATTATATAATCATTACATCACCACAAGATAAAAAGGCTTCTTATATCTGTCATCAGGAGATAGAATGAGTTACCCATTTTGTGCTGAGGCTCAATGTCATATCACTAAAATAATGAGTTTTACTGGGAAGATTTCTGCCTAGATGTTGACCAAGCCTATATTAGAGGAAGCCGTCAGAGGCACTGCTAGTGTCTAAATCCTGCAGCTAGCACGCCATAAGGCCTTTCCAGTAACTTTGTGGCACATGATTCCCTGCCCTTCCCCTCCCCCGAGTAGATGAGATGTGCTGACATACGGAAAATTTGGAGGGGCAAAGGAAGATTTGATGGCCCCAGCATAAATGGCCAAGATAGATACAATGACGCAGGCCAAGAAGAGCGAGGCGAACTTGTTCACGTAGCGTACGCCAACAAACACCACCAGCACCATAAGGACCAAGAAGGCTGTGCCATAGACACGCATGTTATTTAGCATGGCTGCTGATTCCTTAAGGGCATCATCACTTCGGAAAATGGCAGCTCGGGGAAAAATGTAGATCTGCCAGGAAGGCAAAGAAAGAGAAAATGAGGTCACTCTCATGGAACCAAATAGTTGTGCTATAGCAAACTACAACAATGTCCACATAGCAAGGCAGAAATATACAGAACTAATTCGAAAAACTCTTAATGCTAGTGCCAGCCCTCTAGGATGACCTCCAATTTACCCTGCAGATTTCATTTGTACATAGTTGTTTGCATGTTCTCTCCTCCATTAAACTACTGGCTTCTTGAGGGCAGGGACTATTTTTTTGCCCTTCCTTGTATCCCCAGGGCTTAGCACAGTGTCCGGCACATAGTAGGCACTTAATAAATGTTGGCTGACTTGACTTGAGCACTACTCAAATGTGACGAAACCCTTTCACGTTTTTCTTCTCCAATCTGTTTCCAAATTAAAATACCCGGAATGACTGGGAAAATAGTCTATCAAGGGTTTTCTTTTGTCCCCCACACTGTTCTGGCTACGTATCCCACCAGAACAACAGGAATGAATCGTTACTTGCATTTAAAAGATCAAATAAAAGGACTGATCACTATGTCCTCTTAAACATTTCCACTGCCAGGATAGAAATGATTTGAGGGGATAAGAATGACAAGAGAAATTAGTTTTGCTTTACTCAACTATATTTTGCTCTGATAGGGAAAACAAATTTCTTTCTTAATCTCAGAATGACATGGAAATATAACAAAGGGGGAGGTGAAAATCTACATTGTCATAGCTACATCCACTCTACAAAGTTCACAATAAAGACCACAGAGTTCCAGGTCCAGCCACTTGCTCAATTCTTCTAGCCAGTATTTGGAAGAATCTTGAAGAAAGGGATTCTATACTTCACCGAGTGCACCTTCCTGCTCCATAGCACCTAGCCCAGAACACAGCCAAGACATTAACTCACCAGGAATATCTCAATGGCACCAAGGATATACATGGCTGCTGCAAACGTGGTGCCAAGGTAGAAGCAGAGGCCCACTGCTCCACCAAACTCTGGCCCTAATGCTCGGGAAATCATGAAGTATGAGCCTCCAGCTGGAAAGGGAGAGTGAGAATTTTAAAACAGGGATATATACCACTGAAAATAAAAATACAAAAGAAAGGGAAACATAACAAATTCTCAAACATCCTGGATTTTACAGGGAGCAAATTTCCCAATGGAAGGTCTGCGTCATTAAGCCTTCACTGAATAAAAACTACTCTTCATTTATTCCACACGAAGCAACCAAATTCACTAGATTGTCTCAGAAAAATCAGACAGCAGTCACTTCAGGTAAAAAAAAAATAGACGTGTAAATTATTCTGAGAGAGAGAGGTTTACATGCCTGTCTTTAGCTGACACAGATTTCTAAAACATAAAGAAATGCCTTCCACAGAATACAGTCCAACATTCTATGTATTAGAAGGCAGGGTATATGTTAAATGACCTAAAACTCTATCTGCTTTCTCAGAATAACTAGTTTCTGAATTCCAGGATTTATAAGCACACAGTAATGGCAGAAGACCACAACCTTACTGCACTACCACCAGAAGGCAAACTGAACACTCACCTGGCACCACACCATTGGTAGCAATGGCACTCATGGAGATAGCAGTGAGCATTGTCTAAGTAAAAGAAGAGAGATTAATACTAAATAAACATGATACTTTTGCATTACATTATCCAATGAAATAACACAGACATATGTGAAATACTTGGCAAACAAAGCGCTATATAAATGCTATTATTATTATTACCTTTTTTCTTATGTATTTCCAAAGCACTTAAGTTTTAGAAAATAATTTACCTAGTACTTAACTATGTATTTCATTGGGTAAGAAGCTAGCTTCTTCCCTGTGAAGGTAAAGATAAGAGGATGATGCTATTATAAGTATGTTGCCATATTATGATGGTACATTCCCAGTGGCTGGGGATTCCTGGGCCTGCTATTCAGAAGCACCCCACACTATTCAATTTTAGTTCTTTGCTATAAAAATCACAAGTCTTATGCTTCAACTCCAAATCACAGCAGGTTAACCAAGGAATCTGGTTCCTGCTCCCTGAATTGTAGAGCCCTGAGTACTGGCACCATTAAAGGATAAGTCTTGTATGTCACAAAATGTGGAGATGGGATCATGGCCTCATCATCCACTTCCTAGGGTCAGCCCAAAGTCAGTCCCTTTCATTCATTCTTCCTTCCTCACAGCATAATCACTGTCCTATAACACATACATAAGATAATTTAAAAAAAAAAAACAAAACTGAATCTGTGATTTTATTGATATAGGGAACTCCCTGTGAGAAAACTTTCTCTTCAAATATAAAAGACAAAAAACTCACTTAATTTTTGCCTTTGTTTGTAGTTATCGGCTTACAATGTCATTATATGTTTGGATACTTCATTCTTGTCTATGTTCATTTAACAAGACATTTATTAAGTATTTATCATGTACAAGGGCTTAGCTTGGTCACAGTGCTTAGCATATGGTAATGCTAAGCATATGGTAATAAATGTTGATTGACTGATTGCAAGGCACTAAACTAGGTGTTGTGAAGGAGATAAAGAATAAAACATGGTACCTGCCGTCAGTGACTTTATACTCTAATAGTAAAGATGAGAGATATTTAAATAACTATAATAATGTGATAAATGCATTAAAGGGAGGTACAAAGTGTTCAGAGAAAGGGATTCAGAGAAGGAAAAAAACAAACAAACTTCTGGCTCAGGGAAGGCAATAGTATGGTCAAATTTGAGGCAGGTGGGTCCTAAAGAATGGACAAAATTTTAACAGGATAAAACGACAACAAGCATAAGCATTCCAGGAGGAGGGAACAACATAACAAAAAGTAGAGAAGAGGGAAAGTAGGGGGCACGTTTGGCTGAAAGATATGTTACATACAGAAGAGTAATGGTAAATAAAGCTGGGAAGGTTGGTCTCAGACTTTTAGAGGTGAAAATGACTTTTGAAATGATAGGATCATAGACGTTAAAGCTGAAAAGGACCTTGGAGACTCTCTGTCACCTAATTCTATACCAATTTAAAGATAAGAACTATTAATTTGAAGATGAGAAAACTAAAGCCCAAATAGTTGAAGTGATTTGTCCAAGGCCATACATATAGACAGTGGAAAATCAGGACTAGAACTCAGCTCTCCTGATTCCTAGGCTCATGCTCATACAAGTATACCATATAACTGGGATGAGCCTGTGGAGAATTAAGAGCTTTGTACTTTCTTAGGAAATAAGAAGCAACTGAAAATTTTTTTTTGAGACAAGTAATATTACTAGAACTGTGCTCTAAGAAACTTTTATTTTGGAAGTAGTATGCAGGATGTATTAGGAGAGAAATTTAGAGGTAAGTAGATCAATTAGAAGCTATTAAAATGTCCAGGCCAGAAGTACTGAGGGTCTAAACAGGGTAAGGGCAAGACTGTGGGAAGAAAAAGGAAGATTCAGGACACATTTTGGAGATAAAATTGGCAGGACCTGACATGACTAAAAGGGGTAGGGTGCGGCAGAAGATTGATCATGGGAAACTTCCCTTCTAAGATTCTGTACATATTTGTGCAATAATCATTTATTTACTATCAACAGACTTAGAGTTCAAAGTTACTTTGGAGATTAACTAGTCCAATCCCTCAATATACAGATGAAGAAACAGATTAAGTTAAAAGTGACATGACTCAGTCATCCAGGTAAGTAAGCAGCAGAGACAAAGTATGAATTCAAGTCCTCTGAGTATGTCCTTTATACTGTAATAGTGCTGCTTCCACTCTTGCTATAACTTGTCCATCTCCTTTTCTGGGCACACATTTCCTTGAAAATATCTTTTAATCCATTTCTTAAAAGTAAGTCATTGTTGACAATGTTCTTTGGCTTACTTAAATTCATCAGATGTCTTTTTATTGACCTTTGAGTCACCTGAAATTATGATTATTCAGAGATGATAACATTCCATGAGTTATAGTAGGGGAATACTAATGTTAAAAATATTAGTTTCTGCAGCCAGAGATTAACTTGGGATCAGTGGAAGCACCACACAATTTCCCAAATGTTATTCAGTTTAATCTATTCCTATCTAATATTGTGCATTGGTGGAATAACTCAACAGGCAATCTGTGTTTTCATTCACTTTTTTTTTCCAGGCAAACTTCTCTTTTTGTTTCTAACATTGGCTCTACCATTTACAAGTTCCTAATCTGTAAAATGAGACAGATGGAGCAGAGGACCTCTAAAGGCTTTTTTGGCTCCATATCTATTATCCTATGTTCTATGCCTCCAAGTTTTACATCTACAATTTGCTATTAATTGAAAAGTTCTTCCTTTTTTAATCTAGTGCTCAACTTAGTACAATGAATGGAAAAGGGTACTTCAACAATGGTTTGATCTAATAATAGCATCATTTAAAAGGTTAGTAGTTATTAACCCTTTCCAGTGAAACTAGCAATGGTGGCTGGGGATCACAAGTTCAGACTTAGGAAACAAAATAAAATTATCTTTATCTGCCCACATTAGAATTTGCTTTGCACAGAAGCCAAAGATTTAACCATCCCTGGATCTTTAATACATAAGAACATTTTCCCCCCAAATTGCTTCACTTAGACTATATTCTCAGCTGGTTTCTGATCCTTAGAATCAGGGAGTGATACTAGTTTAAAGGAAAGTGGGTCTCTTAGCCAATTTCTATATAAAAAACTGTATTTCCTGTTGCTACATTAGACCTTTTGAGAAACAAAAAGCCATAATTCTTTTGACTGCAAGTTCTTTATGAATGGGGTCCACATTCAACTTAACTTCACAAATATTTGCTCAATATATATTGCACGCAAAATCTTGTGCTAAGCACCAAGGAACATGAAAGTGAATAAGATTGCATTTCTGTCCTCATTGATGGCACTCTCTATTTTCCTGCAAATTTTTCCCTTTGAAATTCCTAGAACAGTGTATTATACAGTAGGTGCTCAATAAATATTTGACATTACACTTGATTTTGGTATCAGAATGTGCCCTTCTGTATAGGATCAATGTTCTTTGCTTTAAGTGTTATTTGGAGAATAAAATGAAAAAATGGTCAAATCCGATTCAATTAATCAAATATTGAATCTTGAGTCTAATACTTGATGTACATAGACTTTCAGAAGCACAAGATTCCCAAAGAGTCCCAGAAGCCCATGTGGGACTTACACAGCAGCAGCAGATGAGGACAATGGCAAAGGCCTGAAGAACTCCAGCTGTGCCCACCACCCATGTGAGCCGAAGAAAGAGGATCACTCCAAAAATATTCTGAAGACACGGGAGGTACACACCCATGAAAGTACCCATTTGGGGGCTCTGGAAGAAAAGATGTAGAGAAGAAAAAACAGAGATGTTAAATGTCTATTCAGGAGAGAAGGTACCCTTACTCCTTTAATGCCCAAGATACATGATCCTTACCCACCATCATAATTTCAACAGCATAAATAATAGGATAAAGAGTTTCCTGGGAAGAATATACATAAACATATATATGTGAAATCCATACCTTACAGATGAAAGGTACCCTACCTTTTATTACACATAGGTACTTGGTCCCAAATAAAAATCTATAAGCTTTATCGATGGGTCCTCTATAATTTCACATCGCCTGCTTCTCAGAGCTATGCAGTTCCTCTCCAAACAGAGATCATCTCCATGTGATAATGGAATAATGACTCAGGTAGAAGGGCTCTTTCCCTTAGCACTACTTAATCTCCATTAGTATTTGGCAAGAAATCCTCAAAAGCAGTCAATAACATGAAGGTTTGGAGGCACTTCCTGTCTTCAGAGAGTTGAACAACAACGTAAGTTTACGTGTTTTCCACATTCTTATCTTAAGTGAAACTGATCATTGGTTTTTTAAAAGTCAAAGACAGATGGTATAATCTAACAAACCAGAGGACGTAAGATTTCTTCTCTTGTACTATCCTGATATTCTCTCCCTTTCCTATAAGCAAGGTTTCTTTTATACCCTTGTTACATCCTGGGGCCTCACCTTGGAGGGCTTCTTTTTCCCTTCTGCAATATTCTCTGCTTCTTCATGCTCCTTTGCTCCTTGTGTCAAATTAGTATAATTAGCCATGCGGCTAAGCAGTGAAGACACTTTTGGCCTAGTGTCCATCTCTTCCTACCAAGTGAAGGAAAGGGAGGAAATATGTAATTAGGAATAGTGATGAGCATCTAAGTGAATAGCAGAGTAACACAAGGCCTAGAAAACGATAAATTAAGAAAATACTTTATAGATTGATTATTCCAAAAAGTTTACTTCTTCCTTCTTCAACAGGCAGAGGACCACAAATTTAAATCAAAGAATATAAATGTAAGTACCATCTTTTTAAAAGAAGACTAGATCAAATGCATTTTATGATGGCCTTTCAACTTAGCCTACAGCTTGGAAAATCATGTTAGACATCAATGAAAGATTATGGCCTAGTAAGAACACTGAAAATATGACTGTTGACTATGGCATCGTTTTTAGGTTGCTAATGTTCCTGGAAATCAGATCAGACCTATCCACCACTTTAAGAGATTAGGTCTATAAAGAGGTTTTTTTGGTTGATTTTGCTTTTCTTAAAACCCTACTCATCTCCTGAAGGTGGCTGAGAGAAGATGGCCCTTTACAGAAAGCAGCACTGAAACAGCAATTATCACTGGCTCAAAATCAGCCAAAGACAGTGCTGGATTGATATCTAGGCCAGAGCTCTACAGAGCTTTTCAGAATGAGCTCTGTTGTCTTTGTTCGGAAATAGATAGACGACTAGATTAGAATTATCAGCATTACTCTTACTTTCTATGGTGATCTTTTTCTGATGTTCCTGAAGCAGGTTTTCAAATTGACACAAATTGTGTTGCTTTGTATACAGGAGGAGAGGTGGCATGGTACAGAGGGCTGGCCTCTGAGTCAGGAAGACCTGTGTTCATGTCCTACTTCTGACAGAAAGTGGTTATATAACCATTGGCAAGTCACTTAAACTCTCAGTGACCCAGGCAGTCCCCTAAGATTGTAAATTAAAGAGAAATGGCTGATTTATGAGATCAGGTGAAAGAAGTTTTCATACTCAGAGTTCTATGTATTGATGAAATCTCAGTTATTGACCCCACTCCCACAAAAACACATTGTCATAAGAGTCACACCTGAGATTTCTGGATTTTTTTTTTAATCTTCAAGTAGAAATTTGGCTAAGTCAACCACTCATTTTAAGTTAGACTATATGATTTATTAAGTTATTAGCTATAATGATGAATTAAAATTCATATCACTGTCATGTAACTGTCATTGTTTATTGCCAACTAACGTGATAGAAAATACTAGAGAATTCTTGCCAGTATTCTCATAGAAACTCCATAACTCACTGCACAGCAGTTTCTATCTCTAGTTTTCTCTCAAGTATTACCTCAAAGAGTGCCAGGTTTCTGTCAAAATATTCATCCCCCTCTTCAAAATTGGAGTTGTTGAGATAAGCATTTCGAGCTTTCTTATGCCCATCATCTGTTTTAAAGAAAAAAAAAAGGTGAAAAAAAACCCCAATGAATTTCTTAGTGGGATTCAATTGCCACAGGTATACACTGGCAAGTCAGTGCACCTGCTGTGACAAATAAAACTTATTTCTTAATAAGAAATAGTAGTGAGCAAGTTCTTATTTAGAGATGCCAAAGATCAGAGAATAGGATTTTCCCTTGAATAGTAGTACATAAGAATAGTACATAAGAATCCGGGAAGCACTGAACATAAGTCATTCCAGTGATTCTTCACGAAGCTGTTTGGAAGACCCTCAGACAATGAAACAAACCTCAGAGACCCATCATCCAGTCACCTGCACAAGTAATAACAACCACTACCCCACATTTACACAGTGCTTTAAGGTTTACTATGTACTTTCTTCACAATAGTCCTACAAGTTTGCTAATTCAAGTATTATCCCCATTCTGGAAGGGAAAATGAAGAAAGGGAATAAGTATTACATAGTGCCTACTATGTGCCAGGCACTGTGCTAAGTGCTTTTATAAAAATTTCATTTGAGCCTCACAACAACCCTTTGAGGTAAGTGCTATTAATATTCCCATCTTACAGTTGAGACAGAGTTTTAAGTGACTTGTCCAAGGTCACACAGCTAGGAAGTATCTGAGATCGCATTTGAACTCAGATCTTCTTGATTACAGGCTGAGCATTCACCTGTCTCCACTGCAGATGAGAAAACTGAGGCCCAGAGAAGTTAAGGGTTTTGTTCATGGTCACACAACTAGTAAGTGTTGCAGTGAGATTAGAATCCAAATCCCCTGATCTGGCTCTTTCCACACATCACACTGTTTGCTCTATGTCATCCTTAATCATCAAGCTTTTGCTGATCCCTACAATGGGATATGTGAGGCACTGTGTTAGCTATGGGTAACTTTACCCTATTACTACTACTAGTGGGCAAAAATCTTTTTTCTCAGATCTAAGTCACTTAACAACAAATTTTTTTAAAAAAATAATCCCAGGCTATATCCTTTAAAAAAAAATTGTGATACCCCCAGGACTTCACATAACAAATCCATGCAGAACAACACATACTAGGCTTCAAAGGGGCCTAAGAGTCTGTTTACAACAGCAACACACTATACAAATATTATCTCATTTGATCCTTAAAATAGCTCTGGATGGTACAATTAGATATTTCCCCCAATTTTGCTGAGGATGCTACTGAGCCTTAAAGGGATCTGTCCATAGTGACACAGCTAGTTAAGTATCAGGCGTATTTCCTGATGCCAAGCCCACGTTCTTTCCCGTTGCTCTGAGGTTTTTCCCCATATTCTTTTTATTCCACATTGAAATGGGAGATTTTCTCACATAGCCAGCTTAAATGCCAGTCTGTTTGGAGTTTTGTACCAATGGCACACTGACTTTAAATGAACTACTACCTCCTTAGATGATAAAATGTTATGTACATTTTGCCACTGAGCTATGGAAGAAATTCAGTCCTAGGGTTAGGCTGACAGCTCTGTTCAAGGTAACCCACATTACCAGTTCCCAGTTTTCAACAACTTTCTAAAATTTTTGCCTGCAGGATAAAGTTAAAACATCTCAATTTTGCCCTTCTTTAATATTTATAACTATACTTCTCACCTAAAGCAACTTCCCCTTTAATTTTTCACTTCCATGAAGCTATGTCCTATTGTCCCATTCTATCCTATTTCCTTCAACAGATTGTCCCCTTTTAAATAACCATGCTCACTTATCTTCAATCTCTCTGTCTACTGGCTGCTTCCCTATTGCCTATAAACATACTCTACGTCTCCAACATCTTCAAAAAACCCTCCCTTGCAGTTTTCAGACAAAGAAGTCAAAGCTATCTATAGTCATATAGAAAAATGCTCTAAATCACTACTGATCAGAGAAATGCAAATTAAAACAACTCTGAGATACCACCTCACACCTATCAGGGTGGCTAATATGAAAAAAAAAAGGAAAATGTGAGATGTTGGAAGAGATGTGGAAAACTGGGACACTAATGCACTGCTGGTGGAGTTGTGAACTGATCCATTCTAGAGAACAATCTGGAACTATGCCTAAAGGGCTATAGAACTGTGCAAACCTTTTGATACAGCAATACCACTGCTAGATCTATATCGCAAAGACATAAAAAAAAGGGAAAAGGACCTATTTGTACAAAAATATTTATAGCAGCTCTCTTTACGGTGGCTAAGAATTGGAAATTGAGAGGATGCTTATCAATTGGGGAAATGGCTAAACAACCTGTGGTATAGGATTGTGATGGAATATTATTGTGCTATAAGAAATGACAAGTAGGATGGTTTCAGAAAAATCTGGAAAGACTTACTTGAACTGATGCATAGTGAGGTGAACAGAACCAGGGAACGTATATATTGTACACAGTAAAAGCAATATTGTTCGATGAAGAACTGTGAGCGACTTAGCTATTCTCAACAATACAACGATTGAATACAAACCCAAAGGACTAATGATGAAGCATACTACCCATCTCTAGAGAAAGAACTGATATTGATTGAATAGAGACTGAAGCATACTATTTTTCACTTTCTTCCTTTTATTTTTTTTGAGTCCTCTTGTACAAAATGATTAATATGGAATTTTTTACATAATTGCACATGTATAACCTATATTGATTGCTTACCATCTCAGGGGTGGGGGAGGGGAGAAGAGAAAGGGAAGGATAAAATTTGGAACTCAAAATTTTAAATAAAAATGTTAAAAAAAAATTGGAAGAAAACCCCTCCCTTGATCCTTCCATCCCTGCTATCATCCTCTATCTCTTCTTCCCTTTGTGACAAAACTTGAAAAGCACATCTACAATTGATGCCTCCACTTCCTCTCCCCTCACTCTCTTCTTAACCCTTTCAATCTGGCTTCATCATTCCACCAAAACTGCTCTCTCCTAAGTTACCAGTGATCAACTAAGTGCTGAATCCAATGGCCTTTTCTCAGCCTTCATATTCTTTGAACTTTCTGCACCCTTGATACTCTCTTCTCTCTAGGTTTTAGAGAAATTACTCTTTTGGTTGTCTTCCTACATATCTGACCTCTCCTTCTCTGTCTCCTTTGCCGATTCCTCATTCAGGTCACACTCCAAAGGGTTCTATCCTAGGCTCTCTTCTTTTCTTCCTCCATACTACTTCACTTGGTGATCTTATCAGCTCCCATGGATTTAATTCTCATCCCTATGCTGATGATTCTCAAATCTACCTATCTAGTCCTAACATTTCTGCTATTCTCCAGTCTCACAACTCCAAATGCCTTTCAGACATCTCAAACTGGATTCCAGGAGACATCTTAAACTCAACATGTCCAAAAAAGAACTCATCCTTCCCCTAAACCCTCTCCCCCTTCCAAACTTCCCTATTACTTTTAAGAGTACCATCATCCTCTCAGTCTCCCAGGCTCATAGGTGAACTAGGAGTCATCCTGGACCCCTCACTATCTTTTACCCTCCACATCCAAGCTATTGCCAACGTCCATCAACTTCACCTTCTCTTGAATAAGCCCCCTTCTGTCCTCTGAAATTGCCATCACTCTAATGCTGGCCCCTCATTACCTCATGCCTGGACTATTGCAATAACCTGCTAGTGGTCTGTCTGCCTGTCTCTCTCTCCATTCCAATCTATCTTCTATTTAGCCACCAAAATGATTTTCTTAAAATTCAAGTTGATCATGACACCTACCTACTCAATAAACTCTAGTGGCTCCTTATTACCTCCAGGATTACATACAAATGCTTTGTTTGGCATTCAAATCTCTTCACAACCTAGCCCTACCCCTTACCATTCTAGTATTCTTCATTCCCTGCCAATACTCTTCGAACTGGTGAAACTGGCCTCCTAGCTATTCCATGAACAAGACACTCCATCTCTTGGCTCTGAATATTTTCTCTGGCTGTTTCCTATGCTTGGAATGTTCTTTCTCCTCATCTCTAGCTCTTAGCTTCCCTGACTTCCTTCAAGTCCTAACTAGAATTGGGAAGCCTTTCCCAATCTCTCTTAATTCTAGTACCTTGCCTCTGTTATTTTCCCCCTATTAATCCCATAATTATGTACATATTTGTTTGCTTGTTGTCTTCCCCATTAGATTGTAAAATCCTTAAGGGCAGGGACTATCGCTAGTCTTTCTTTGTATGCCCAGGGATTAGCACAGTGCCTGGTATACACAGTAGGCAGCGACAAGGAAAGAGAGCATTCCAGGCTTGGAGAATAGCCAGAGAAACTGCCTAATGATGGAGAGAATATTAATGATTCAGATTAAAGATTAGAGTGCTGCGCATACGGTTTTTTCCCTCCTCTTTTTGGAGGACTGGTTGTTAAACATTTACCAGCACATCTCTGCAATGACATGCCTAGGTTAGGCAAAAAGATAAGCAAGTGAAGCAGGCTTGGAGTAGCAGTAGGGGAGGCGTTCAAGAATACGTTTCCAAAAGGAATCAGGAGGATATTCCTAACCTGATTTAAAAAGCAAATATGGAGAAGTTATCTGAAATCAGTGCTATTTGTATAAATGTATTTGCAAATACGTATGTGTGTATATATAATGTATACGTACATATTATAGACTTCATATAAATATGACACTCTTAGAATCAGGCTCCCTCACAGAGTCAAGCTGACATATCTATAGTGCTATATGCATACTAAAATAATATGGACATATGTGTATACATGTATGAAGTATATTTTCATATATGGATTTATATTTTCCATATAATTTATATATTAATATAAATATATGAAATGTTTATTTATATAAAATAGAAAGAGTACTAACGTATAAGAGACCTGAGGGTAAGTGCAGTTTTGATATTGTGACCATTGGCAAATTACTTCTCACCTCCTTTCCTCATCTGTAAACCATGGATGTCATAACACTTGTACTCCTGTTCTATCTGGACCCATTTCCTCCTCTTTTAAGCAAGGGAATTGGATTCTGAAGTCTCTCAAAGCTCTAAATCTATGATCCTATAATAAATGTAGGTTATAAAA